TTTGTGGAATAATTTCAGAGGCATCCCTTACCCTGGTACATGTTCATTGCAGAAAAATAAATTCTCCAGAAATTACAATGTATAAAGAATAAACTGATATGAATAGCCCCAAGAGAAAACCACTGTTAGTATTAGCATAGCCTGTAAAAGGTTTTGGATGTATATATACACTGTTGCTACAGTAAACAGAGATCTCTATGGGAGTGATTTCAACAAATATGTTTCAGACTCTTCTAGTACTTTTTCAAGTAAAGAAATTGAGTTTTTAACAGTTAAGTTAACAAGTATACTTTTGCCTCACTGTAGGTATCACTTGTTGTTGTTAGATGCCATCGAGTCAGTACTGACTCATAGCAATTCTATGCACAACAAAACAAAACACTGGCCAATCCTGGGCCAACCTCACAATTGATGCCACGTTGGAGCCCATTGGTGCTGCCACTTTGCCAATACATCTCACGGTGGGGTCTTCTTCTTTTTCTCTGATCCTCCATCTTACCAAACATGATATTCTTCTCCAGCAACTGGTCCCTCCTGACAATATGTCTGAACTATGAGAGATGAAGTTTGGCCATCCTGGCCTCCAAGGAACACTCTGGCTGCACTTCTTCCAACACAGATCTGTTGGTTCTTTAGCAGCCCATGGTACTTACAATATTCTCCTCCAACACTATATCTCAAAAGCATCAATTGTTCTATGGTCTTCCTTATTCACTGTCCAGCTTTCGCATGCATATGAGGCTACTGAAAATGCCATAGCTTGGTTCAGGCGCACCTTAGTTCACAAGCTGACATCTCGGCTCTTCAATACTTTAAAGAGGTCTTGTGCAGCAGATTTGCTTAATGCAATACATCGTTTGATTATTTGACTGCTGCTTCCATTGGTATTGATAGCTGATACAAGAAGAATGAAGTCCTTGACAACTTCAATCTTTTCTCCATTGATAAGAATGTTGTTTATTGGTCCAGTGGTGAGGATTTTTATTTTATTTACATTGAGATGCAATCCATACTGAAGGCTGTGCTCTTTGAACTTCATCAGTAAATGTTTTAAGCCCTTTCACTTTGAATAAGCAGAGTTGTGTCATCTGCATATCCAGGTTGTTAATGAGTCTTCCTACAATCCTGATGCCAAATCTGGAAAAACGGGTATGATGACGCTAGAATCCTAAAATGTAACAGATAAAAAGAGATTAACTGCCTTTGTATACAAAGCAGAGACAAAAAGAATTTAAAATGGATTTCCCCATCTTGAATAGCTTGTCCAAGGTAGAGAAGCATTTTGTCTCAACTGCTGTTGAGACCATTCCAACTCCTGATGACTCCATGTGTACAGAGTAGATCTGCTCCATAGGGTTTTCTAGATGGTGGCATTTTGAAAACAGATTGCCAGTCTGTCTTCTGAGGAGCTTACAGTTTGGTACAAGCTATCCATCTTTTGGTTAGAACTCAAGAGCTTAACTGTACCACCCAGGGTATATAAAGAAAGTGTGCAACAACTTAACAGACTCACAAATCAGACATTTTTGAAATTTCTACTCAGAAAGCAAGTAATTTACATTTCTTGATCAGTAATTTACAAATAATGATTGACATACATACCCCAGTAGGTGAGATTCTTGAACAGAAGAAAAATATTGGTAGTTCTCTTGATATTTATGAAATGTTACTTTCAAGTATTTCAGTTATATTTTATGTTATTTGTAATATTTTAGTGTAATGGCATATGTATATAATTTCCAGGTAAATGAATATAGATGGTCATAGTCTGTTTGCTGCTAGGGGAATGCAATAAAATAAAAGCATAGGCCACCTTTATAAAGGTTGTTGTTGCATTTAGGTATTCTTTATTCTTGCATCCTGTTGATCTTCTTTATAATTAGTCAATTAATTTTCTTACTAAATTAAACTTGAAATCTTACCAAAACAGAACTACTCTTTTTTCCTTAGACAAAAATATCTAAGATTGTTAAGAAACAATTTTTCTAGAGTTTTCTCTGAAGTACACAATTATTAATCTGTGAAATAAAAGCACTTCCTCCTTAAGTGATAAAGAACTAAAAATGCATTTTGATCTAAAAATATTATTGAACACAATCTATGAGCAATATGCTCTGGAAAATATTTTGAAAATAAAACGGCAATCAAAATGTTATTCCTTCCCTTCAGAATCATTAGATGTGTTTATGTAAATTATAAGGAAAAAAGGTTGATCATATCAGCAAATTTTTTGTACTTCATATTGAAAGTCACATACTAAATTTACTCAAATTCATTCACTGGGTTAAGAAGGACTATCATGACTTAAATTGTCTAAATTCATAACTGTCTACTAAAAATACAAAATATGATACCGATTATGATATTAACTCAAATATTAACATTCCAAGGAGGTGCTTGTGAGCTTTCACCACCAACCTTGTGGATCAAATCAACTTTGCAGTCTAGCGCATTAACCTACAGGGCCACACCAGGACTCCAACCATTAATGTACTTGAATGCAAATAGATGTCACTAAAGTTCATTAAACAGCTTGTTCTATTGAGTTGTTGTTGTTAAGTGCCATGCCATCCAGTCAGTTCCGACTCACAGTAATCCTCTATAGGGTTTCTGAAGATCAGCTCATGGATTTAACCCACTGACCTTGAGCTTCAGACGGACCAAGTGGTGCAGTGCTTATACTATGGTGGTGATTATGTGCCATGCAGTTGGTTCCGACTCACAGTGACCCTGTACAGGGTTTCCGAGGCTGTAAATCTTTACTGGAGTAGAAAACCTCATCTATCATCTGCGGAACAGCTGGTAGTTTCGAACTGCTGATCTTGAGGTTCGCAGCCAGATTTGTAACCACTACGTTACCAGAGCTCCTTATACTATAGGATGAATAAAAACTTGTATATTTTTGTTTACTATGATGATTTGCACATAGAAATATTAACTATCATAGGTGGAAAAAAGAGATACTACTTATCATTTGGACTTGCACTATGGGTCAGACTCCATTCTAAACATTTTATAAATCTTAATTCTTACAACAATTCTATAAGACCACCTTCTAGCCCGACTACCATCAAGTTGATTCTGAAACCAGTGGGGAAAATATTAGTACTTAGCTTGATTTTAATGAAATATTACTTTTTGAAATTTTAATTTTAATTGAGAGTAGATATAATATTTTAATGTAATGGCATATGTGTATAATCTATGTTGTTGTTGTTGTTGTTAAGTGCCGTGGAGTCGGTTCCGACTCATAGCGACCCTGCACAGGGTTTCCGAGGCTGTAAATCTTTACGGGAGCAGAACGCCTCATCTTTCTCCCGAAGAACCGCTGGTAGTTTCGAACTGCTGACCTTGCAGTTCACAGTCCGATTCGTAACCACTACGCTACCAGAGCTCCTTATAGGTAAATGAATATACCTGGTCATAATTTTTTTACTGCTGGAGGAGTGTGCAGTAGAACTGTAACCTAGAAATATGGGAGCAACAGCCTCATTTTCTCTCATACAGTTTGAACCAAAGACCTTGTGGTTGTAGTTGTTGAGTGCTGTGTAGTCGATTCCAACCCATAGCGACCCTATATAGGGTTTCTGAGGAGACACTTGTCAGCTTGTAGCACCAATCTTGTAGTTCAAATGACTTTGCAATCCAGTGCATTAACCCGCAGCGCCACACCAGGATCTTGTGGGTAGCAGCCCAAAACTTACTCTAGTGCATCACCAGGGTCCTTTGTAGTATGCGGCACATGTCATTATGCCCTCAATCTACAGACACATAAACTGAGGCACAGAGAACTTAATGACTTGCCTAAGGTCACAACACTAGGAATTACAAGAGATAGAATTTGAAAGCTGAATATCATTTTGACTCTGGTGTCTCAATGTGTTTGCTAAGAATTTTAAAGCATTGAAAGTGGGGTGTAAGAATTGTATTTTTGGAATATAGCTGCCATACAGAGATGAAACCCAGCCTTATACCCACTACCATCTACTGATGAGATGGCTTTTGAAGCTGTAAATCTTCATGGCAGCAGAAAGCCTCATGCTTCTACTCCAAATGGTTGGTGTGTTGGAACTGCCTACTCTATAAAGTCCTGGTATGGCTGTATTGGATAAGCATTAGACTGTTAACCACAAAGATGGTGGTTGCAATTCACCAGCTGCTCCTGGGAAATCCTACAGAGGGTCGTTATAAGTTGGAACTGACTCAAAGACACTTAACAACAATAACTTGTGGTTAGCAGTCCAGTGCCTTTCCCACAGCACCACATACTGTAGTTACAAAAGAAATGATTCCAGGTAATGTGTATTTACATGCTGGCAGTGGTGGTGGTTATGTGTCATGGTGTCAGTTTCAACTCATAGAATTCATGAGCATGTATAGAATTTTAGAGTCTGAACACCTTGTGGGAGCATAAAGCTTCATCTCACTCCTGCAGAGTGGCTGGTTGATTGGAACTTCTGACCTTGTAGTCAGCAGTCTAATATGTAACCCAACACAAAAGATATGAAAATGTCCTAGTGGTGGAATGGTTAAGCACTCAGCTATTAACAGAAGTGTTGACAGAAGGAACCCACTAGTGGCTCTGTAGAAGAAAATAGCTGACAATCTGTTCCTGTAAAGGATACAGCCTAAGAAACATTATGGGGCAGTTCTATTCTACAGGGTTCATCAAGCCAGAACATAATAAAAGAGATGCATCAACAACAATATGAGGATCTAACGTCTAAAGTATATAGAGTGAGATTTGATACCAGGTTTGGCTTTGGTGGTTTACTCCCACATGTTGTTGTTATTACTAAGTGTTGTCTAGTTGGTTCTGACTCATCGCAACTCTGTATTGGGTTTCCATAGAGCAAATGGTAGGTTTGAACTGCCAAACTTGAGGTTCACAGTTCAGTGCTTCTCTTTCAGCACCATACCAGGAGTCCCACAATGCTATGATTTTATTTTCATTTTACTTTACAGGATGTTTTCTTATTGGACCTCAGAAACTTGACTTCATGGACCAAGGAAATAACTCAAGAGTGACTGAATTTGTGTTGCAAAGTCTTTCAGGTTCTCCAGAGCTACAAATCTTCTATTTTGCATTCTTCACACTTTTCTATATGTCCATTGTGCTAGGGAACTTCCTCATTGTATTCACAGTTCTCTCTGAACCTGCATTACACACACCCATGTACTTCCTGCTCAGCAATCTCTCCTTCATTGATGTGTGTCTATCCACTTTTGCCACTCCAAAAATGATTGCTGACTTCCTCATGGAATACAAGACCATCTCCTTTGAGGGCTGCATGGCTCAGATATTTCTCCTGCATGCCTTTGGTGTTAGTGAAATGGTGCTCCTTGTGGCCATGGCATATGACAGGTATGTAGCCATATGTCGACCCCTACACTATGCAGCCATCATGAGTGTACGCAAGTGCATAGGCCTTGTTGTAGGCTCGTGGCTCGTTGGGATCGTGCACTCATTAAGCCAGGTGGCCTATACAGTAAACCTTCCATTTTGTGGTCCGAATAAAGTGGACAGCTATTTCTGTGACCTTCCCTTGGTTATTAACCTTGCCTGCATTGATACCTACGTTCTTCAGATAGTGACACTTTTAGACAGTGGTGTAATAGCTATGACCTGCTTTCTGCTCTTGCTCATCTCCTACACAGTCATCCTGGTCACTGTGCGACGACGGTCATCAGCGGGCATGGCCAAGGCCCGGGCCACCCTGAGTGCCCATATCACTGTAGTGACCCTCTTCTTTGGGCCCTGCATCTTCATCTATGCTTGGCCTTTCAGCGATCTCCCAGTGGATAAGCTTTTTTCAATATTCTATACTGTTTGCACCCCTCTCTTAAATCCCTTGATCTACACATTGAGAAATAAGGAGGTAATCTCAGCGATGCAGAAACTGAGGAGGCGAAAAGTAAGTTCTTAACAGCTTCTTGGCTGTCCTCAAAACCATACCAAATACACCCACTCATATTCTTTGCTATTTAGGCTATTTCTATTTGAACCAAGAAATTAAAGAGATGGAGATAATTCTGTGCATGAGGAAAAATAAAAGTCTATTGTTACAAAATCATAGACAATTTTATTAAACAAAGATCTCAAAATGTGAGGCAACAATTTTTCAACCATTCTCCATCCTATTGCTATTTTCAAATGCTGTTGAGTTAGTTCTGACTCATGTTGACACTGTATAGGGTTTCCAAGAAGTAGCTGGTAGGTTTGAAACACCCACATTGTGGTTAGCAATCCACTGCTTATCCTGCAGCACCACACCAGGATTCCATTCTCCATCTAGGTCGATATACTTCTGAATGTGCTATTTCCCTTTTTCTGACCACAGCCTGAAGAATTCTGTGCTCTTAGGTTCACAGGAAATCAAAATGGCAATTTGAACACATCCTGGGATTCAAATCAAGGCGCTCTGGTAACGTAGTGGCTACAAATCGGGCTGCTAAATTCAGAGTCAGCAGTTCGAAACTACTAGAGCTGTTCTGTGGGAGAAAGATGAGGCTTTCTGCTTCTGTAGAGATTTACAGCTTCAGAAACCATATGTGGGGTCACTATGAGTCGGAACCAACTCTACTGCACACAAGCACCACCACCACCAGGGACTCAGATCATGTTATTTTAAAATATTCTTGGAATTTGAGGAACAAAAATAAGTCTACAGAGTCGAGATGAGAGCTTTAGGCTTGATATGGTAAACTTTCCTAATAAAATTCTAATAGGATACCCTTACTACCCTCAAAGAATGAGCAGATTCATTTTTGTGATGGAAGAAACAAAAACCCTTGCTGTAACTTTCCTGGCCTTTTTCTCATCTATGCCATTTTCAATTTTCTTAAACCTTCTTCCTTAAAACCCTCATGATTGCCCTATATCCTTTGAGAAAATCTACCAAGATTACCTCTTTGGAATTCCATAAAACAATCACCATAGTCTTCTAAGATGACCTCTTTTTCTTGAATTTAATTGACTCAGCTGATCTCCTAAGAAGCCACTGTTTTGGTCGGATCAATTTCATTTGAAGGCACCTAAATGGGACTAAGACAAGTGTTTTACTGAGAGAACTTGTCTGCAGACAGCCACAGATCACGGAGTCATGCTTAAACATATAGTTTTTTGTTTGTTTTTGTATTTTTTTTAGTAAACATGTACTTGCATGTCTGAATCCTAGTGCAATACTTTTTGACTTACCTTCTTTTATAGGTGTGGTCTTTCTTGCAATATAGATGTGGTTTTTTTATAAATTATCCAAACTTAAGGACTAAATAGTTACTGTTTTGGTGGTTTTATAAAACAACTCATAAATCAATATTATTCATATATTCAACCATGCAAATGTAGCCTATTTCACTATGCTGCAATTAAGAAAACCTTGGCCCTCAATTAATGTTTCTTTGTCTCAGAGCATTAAATTAAAGTTCAGAATCACCACTCTAATCTAATGGTTCAATGACTACATACAAATATGTATATATATTTCTCAATATATAATATACCTTTGTTCTAGATATTATTTTACTGATCTCTAGGTCTGCTGTCTAATCAACATCACGCAATAAAACATAAGGGAGAAAACATACTTTCCAAAACTCTCATATAAATATAAAATCATTGTTTTGATTTTTTATATGGAAAGCCTCTGTTTTCATTGGGTTTTATTTTTTGAGTTATTGTTATTTCTCAAATATTATGCTATATTTCTTTGATTTTATAGCATTTGCTTTTTATAACTAAAAACAAATCATCTTAAGAATGAGATTCCTCAACTTCAAGCTCATAAAGAAATTATTATTTTATTTGTCATAATACTATTCCTAATAATGAAAATGTTACTTTTCCTTTAGAATGAATACTTCTATAGAATTTTTGTTTCTTAAACTCAACTTGATAAATATAAAAATATGGAAAATATGAAAGTATTATAGCATATTTAAATGATACTTTTAAAGTTTCAGAATAGTACTTAATTACCAACTTTTTACCAGTCATCATTTTAAGTGGTATCACATTCTAATTTGAGAGAATCATATTAAACTTCTCACTTCTAGTGTCTGAAAGAGAAATTCCTACCCCAAGGTGAAGTTTTGCTTTTTCAGCAGTGAAGGTAAATGGCACTGTAGAATAGGATCTGATTTCAGTTATGCTTTAAACTATATTTAACTTCCTTTTTTTCTTTATAATTTCACCATTCTGGAAAGTTCTATTGATTCTTTTATGAGACAGAATTTTAAAATAAAGCAAAATGAATAAAGCTTATATGATGAATATATTAATAATGCTATTAAGGTAAAAAATATTTATTACTATGTCATTTACAAATGTCATCTTTATATATTAATTAATGTTCACAATGCCTATGAGCAAGAAGATTGTACCTGTGTTACTGGTAATGTTGAAATTTAGCCAATCAGAAATCTTTCTAATAAAAATACCTATGAATTCTGGAAGCATTTTTTAAAACAAGCATATAGTCTCATGGCATCTGAAAGAGTAGAAGTTTTGGGTGAAGAAAAGTAATAGGAAGTGATTTTAAGTTATCAAAAAAAGCAAGGTCCTTAGGTCCAAGGTCTGTTCCTTCAGTGAAGGTAAAGTTCAGAAGTATGTTTTTAGTAGCACAAAGCAGAGCTAAAAAATGTATTCAAATTGACCTTTTCTATGGATAGAAAGGAGACTTGGTGTGGTGCTGTCGGCTAATGCGTCAGACTGCAAAGTGCATTTGGACTGCAAGGTTGGTAGTTCAGGCTCACCAGCTGCTCCTTGGAAACCCTATACAAGGTTGCTGTGAGTCAGAATATACTCAATGGTACTTAATAACAACAGGGACAGAAAAACTGTTTACTCTAGGAAATTATGATCATGGCATTGTCTATGTATGAATTCAGTTATTGAATTTTTACTCTGCATTGCTAGAAGAGCTTTGATCTTTAAATACATAAATAAACATAAAATACAGCTCACATTAAGGATCAATGAAATACTTGAGCATTTGAAAAAATTAAGACAAAACCTTTCTCATGGTCTACATTCCTAACAATGGCCACACAGAATGTTAACACACCAAATCCTGCTACTCTTTTTATTTATAGTACCAGATAAGATGCCTAGTTCTGTGCTATGGGATATTGCATTGTACCTCAAGGTCATTTTCAACTGTAAGGTCGTCAGTCCAAACTCACCAGCCATTCCTTGGAAACCTTATACAGGGTCCCTATGAATTAGAACTGACTCTACGGCACTAAACAACAACAACAAAGATAAGAGGCAGCTTAGCAACCTTCATAACAGGTTGGTCCCCTGCAGTGTGGTCAAATATATTCAAGCAGGGAACCAGAACCTTACTACTATGGGATCAGTGGAGGCCATATAGGTAGTAGTTATGAGGCATTTGAACTTCTGGTGTGGCACTGTAGGTTAAACAATGGACTGCACACCACAATGTCGGCAGTTCAAATCCACCACGTAATCCCTGGAAGCCCTGGACAAGGTTGCTATGAGGTGGAACCAGCTTGATAGCGCTTAACAACAGCAACAACAGCAAGGCATTATTACTGTTTCCAGTCAAGAAGGTGTCAGTAAAGGACTAGTGCAGAGTTAGAACAGTCACTACCAACCACCAGTAGCAAGAAGCCTCCCACTTTGGGAACTGTTGGAAGAAACAGAAAACCTGGTTTCTAACTCCACATGCCATAAACAAGATAGGATTTTCCTATTCTCCTGCTAGACTGGTGTCAAAATGAGTACCCCCCCAAAAAACATAAAATGTAAAGGAAGCCCAGAGTCTTTTAATAGTAAAAATATCCAGATATTAAGGGGAAAAAAAACAACAACAACAACAACAAAAACACTAATCACGCAAAGCACCAGGAAAATCTCACCAAGAATGAGAAAGGACAACAGATGTTATCACCAAGCTTTCCAGAGATGTTAGAATGATCTGACAAGTATTTTAAAGCAGTCATTATAAAAATGCAACAATGAGCTATATGAACATACTTGAAACAAATGAAAAAAGAAAAAAATCCTCAGCAGAGAATAGAAAATCTCAGCAAAGTAATGGGAAATATAAAGAAAAATCAAGTGGAATTTTTAGCAATCAAAGTGAAGAAGAACAAGGAACTGAGGAAAGAACAACAGAAATTGCATATTATGAGAGAAAATGAACTCATAATAAATGAACAGAACACTCCAACCTCAGAGAGGTGGTTCGTAACTCCTCAACCTAACTGGGGATTTCAGAGAACATTCTTCCAAAGAGTAAAGTTTGAAAAAGAAGAAGAAAGACTAACTTGACAGTGGAGGAAATGACAACCATGATCTCAGTAAGGTAACCAAGCCCAGCAGCAGTTGTGGTAGTTATGTTGGTCACATACACCTTCATATGATGTGATGACAATTACGTCTTCCTATGGTTTCTTCCAAAAATCCATATCCTCAGAAAAATCATGAGAAAAACATCAAGCAAATCTCAATTGAGGGAAATTTTTACAAAATACCAAACCAGTAGGACTCAAAATTGTTAAGATGATTAAAAACAAAGAAAGTCTGAGAAACAGTCACAATCAAGAGAAGCCTAACATGATTGCTAGATGCAATGTGGTGCCATAGATGGGATCCTAGAATAAAGTAAGTATATTACCTAAATAAATAGAATAAATATATTACCTGAGTATATTACCTAAAAACTAAAGAAATCTAAATCAAGTATAGATTTTAGTTTTTTGAAAATGCATCAATATTGGTTTATTAGTTGGACTCCTGGTATGGAGGTATAGGATCAGCAAGTACTGGACTGTGTAATATAATTTTGGCAGTTCAAACCCACCAACTATTCCTCAGAAACTCTATACAGGGTTGTTATGGATCAGAACCAATTAGACAGTACTTAGCAACAACACCAGTGTACCATACTTAAGTAAACTT